ATGACAAATAGGGCCCCTTTAGGAAATGTGTTGCTATGCATTCAGGCTTCATAGTGCAGAGATTGGTAACTTTTGATATGTAAAGTGTAACTAATGCCTCCAAAATTATAGCTATATAAAAAAACCCAGCTAAACTGTATTGGCTGAGACAACCAAGAAGTGCAAGGGGTGAGGGGAAAGCAATGCATTTTATTCCACTTAGTCCCCCTCCACATCTGAGTTTATAAGGAATCTGAGACACAGCATTTAAGATTTCCTAGAAGCGGGGTCAGTCTTTAAAAGGAGAGACTGCAATGGTTTTAAAGATACTAAAGCTACTTTAGTACTGTGAAAAAGCAAATGAAAAAAACAAGTTCTAGGAAAAGGGGAAAGACAGATAAACAGAATATGAAGAGGATGGAATAGAAACTGGAGGGGAAAAGAATAAAACCTGGAAAAAAAAAATCCCGAACAACGTTCCTCCCTCCAAACACACTCTCCCAATCACATACACAGAGCTCCACAGAGGCCAGTGTAACATCAGGAATTTGTATTGCTTTCAGTCGTGTGTTGTGTCGTCTGATATAAAGGACCAGTTCAATAATAATGAGGAAACCAGTTAAGCACCTCATTACCTCCCATCTTGTGTCTAAGTCCCACTGACTTCACCAAGTTGAAATAATTGGCCAAAATGATTGTGCATGCTTACTCATGGAAGTGCATGAAGTTACATGGAAGTGCATGCTTACCCATCCATTGCTCTGGCTCAGAGTGCTTCGGGGAAGGGATTACGGCCATTCTAGGAATGTAAAACTGGCCATCAAATCCAGACTGTCCCAGTTGCAGGAACGATGGAGCAGATGTTGAGACCACAGGGATCTTCAGAACATCTGTTCTGCAACACATTCCTCTTCCCGAACCACCTACAATATACTTCTTAAGACTCCCTAACATAGTCTACACATTTATTTGATTGTGGACAATCTAACAAAGCTTTGGATAAACTCATGTACAAAAATATGCAGCTAGGTTTGATCCCTGCCCAGGAGGAACACGAGCAGGTACCGTGCAAATACTTCCAAAAAGAGGCTCTCCCATCTGCTGTCCAATTACACAAAAAAGTGGAGAAAGAAGAGATGAGAGAGGAGAGGAGAGGAG